ATCTCAGTCAATATCTCATTGAAGTACAAGACAGTGACATTAACATAACAGATAATAATAAATGGAATGCATTGACTCATAGTGCTGAGAGTGGTAACAAGAAGCTAGTCCAATACCTCATTAATAATCATCAACTGCCTCTCACATCATTTGCATTACTTCAAGCTGTACGTAGTACTAAACTATCATTAATTAAATTATTAGTTAATGAATATAAACTAGATCCTCAAGTTAAAGATGGTGACGGTATGCAAGGAGTTCATTTTGCAGCTGAAGTTGGTGCTATTGATGTCTTAGAGTATTTAGTAAAAGATTGTGGATGTGATTTGGATAGAGTAGGTGGAGAATACAGCAAGAATGTGTTTCATTATTCTACATGGAATGGAAATTTTTTATTTATAAAATATATTATTAATAATTATCCACAATATACTAGTCTATTACATTCTACTGATGATATTGATACCCTACCAATTCATTATGCCTGTATTAGTGGTGTAATACAACTAGTGACATTTCTAATTGATGTAATGAAATGTGATGTCACTACTGAAGATAAGTACGGCTTAACTTGTGTCATAAGGGCATGTGAATCTGGTAATATTGATCTTTTAAAATTATTAGTAAAACAATACAACCTTAATCCTAGAATATTTGGCAGAGCATCATCACCAGAAGCTGCAGTGGTACATGGACATGTTCATATACTAGAATGGTTTAAACAAGAGTATCATATCAATGTAGCCTCATTTAAGAATGGTGTATTACCTTTTCATGCTGCACAATTCTACCGTTTGTATTGTTTAAAGCATTTATTAAACACTTATTTATTTGATATTAATGCCACTGATTCTAGAGATGATACTCAATCTACACTCCTTCATATAGCATGTCAGAAAGGACATGTTGCTATAGTTCTCTACCTCACTAGTCTTCCTCAGTGTGATGTATCAGCTAAAACTTCAAATGGATCAACAGTTCTTCATTTATCATGTAAAAGTCGTTCTCTTCCTATACTCAAACATCTAGTGGAGGAGCATCAGTTGGATCTCACTATTAAAGATTACAATGGAATGGCTCCAGTTCATGTAGCCTGTGAAGAAGGATCATTGAGTATAGTCAAGTACATTATAGACCATTCACCATTATCTCTTGATATGACCGACTCTTTTGGACGTACTCCACTACTTATTGCAGCTTTCTCTAAGAACCTTCCCATCATTCGTTACCTCAACTGTAAAAAATGCAACA